ATATAGCATACCACTGCTTTAAAATCAGGAGCTATTGTTTATTCTTTTAATGAAATAGAAAATGGCAACAGTTCAGTTGCGAAACAGGTTAATAGAAGCTCAAAACTTTCAATAGTTAAATCAAATATTACCTCTATTATAAGTTTAAATGATGGTGGGTCATTTTATCTTGATTCCAAAGGTATCCAATTTGAACTAAAAGATGTTAAAGTTCTTAAAGTAGAAGCGCTGTTTGGTTCCGGAGGGTTTATTTTCATTAAAGAAGCTTTAAAATGCTCATTAACTAACTTATTTCTTTAAGATTCTTATGCAGGCCAATTAGGTTAGCAAATTTATTCTTAGAAATTTGGCTTGATTTTCCTCATGATAACGTCAAATTTATATTAGATTGAAAGATGAGGAATAAATTATTACCCTTAAATTAATCCAATCACTAATTTTGGTGGAGTTACTTTAATAAATTCAAAATCAGTTTCAATTAAATAGTGCTAATTTATTGGAAATTTGTACTCAGATAGAGGTGGTGCAATTTATATTCTTGAGGGAAATGTTTCTGTTTCAAGCACCATATTTCAATAGTTGTATTCATAGTATGGATCAGCAATTTATCTTGAAAACAATTCAGCAATTTAACTTTAAGGCCTCAGTATTTTTTAAAGTCTGGCAAGCATAGATGGAGGGGGTTTATATATAAAAAACCCATAAGGTAATGTAAAAATTATTGATTCCTTCTTTGCTAAGGTACTATCATAGAATGAAGGTGGATGTGTTTTCTACTAAACAGATGAGACATCAAATTCCACTTATATTGACCTTCTGTTTTAATACATAAATTTTTCTATATTTTAAGCTAAAGTTGCTAGCTCTGTTTCAGTAAATGGAAAATTAACTAATGTGATGTTTTTAAGCTGCTCAATAACAAAATCTTATGGTGATGATTTCAATTCAATATATATAAGAAAAGCTAATACTTTAGAAATAAATGCTTTTGAAGTTTCTGATATATATTCAAGAAATAGTTCTACTTTTTTATATGTTGATACTGTGATTGAATCAGTAAGCATTCAGTAAACGAAAATCTAATGCAAACTATCTACCGATTAATTTATTAACCCATTTTTTCTAAGAAGGGACTTAAAATAGAAAGATTAAATTATTTTAAAAAATGATAATTAAAGATTAAATAATAAAGATATCCTATCTGGAAAAGATTAATTAATCTATTAATAAGAATTTGATAATTATGATTCTTAAGCTGTAGATGAGAAATCAGCAGAAATAAATAGTGATTAAGAATAGAAACTAAATGTATTAGAAAATTAAAAACTAGCAAAAAGATCTCTCTCATTTAATTTTAATTCAATAGGAATGTCATTTTATTTTGGCCTGAATACATTATCTCTTATCATTGTGGATAAAGCGAAACAATTATTTATTTAGACATTAATTATAAAGTAATGCCCAATAGAAAGAAACTTTGAATAAGCACTAATAGTTTTTAAAAGTTCACTGACTTTTAAAACAGGATCTCAATTTATTGATATAAATTCAGATTACTCATATTGCAGTGGTAACAATGGAGGATTGTACAATCTCTATAGAAGTTAAGCATATTTCTACAACAATACTGTAGCAAATGTAAATAGCTATAAGTATGCAGTAATTCATTTTGATTGGGCATAAAAAGTTTTCATGCAAAATTGTACCTTCGATTAAATCTTCACGTTTGATAAAGGTGGGATATTTAGTTTTGAAAACTCTCAAATATATTTCAAAATGTAAAGAGATGTGATAATCAGAAATTCTACGTTTTAGAATATTGATTCATCTTAAGGGATAGGTGGATTTATATTTTCAAATGATTTGGTTCTCAATAATATATATATTGAATCTGTGACTGTCAAAAATATTACAGCTTCTAGAAATGCAATATTCTAATTAAGTGTAATAAAATAAAGCCTAAAAATTTCCTCTAATCCAAAGTATTAAAGGACAGAATTCTCAAATTTCTTTGCATTAAACTCAGCTTAGTTTCTTGAATTAAATTAAACTAATGTCTAGACAATAACAGCTAGAATTGAAATAAGTGATTCGATTATTGATTGTCAGAATGATAAACAAAAATATATTTTAATGAATAAAACTTATGATTCAACTGACGAAGGAATCATAAAATATTATAGTCATTTGGGATTATACACTAAGGACTGTATATTTAGAAATTGTAAATTAGCTTATTAGGGTGCTTTTATCAAAGTTGGTACTAATAGTGGAAGTTTGATGGTGAGAGCTTCTTATGAAGATAATGGCTCATCTTTTTATAATTTGAAAGGATCATATGGTTCAGTAGTTTCCTGTATAAGCTGTGATTTAAAATTGAAAAATACCATTATCCATGATGTTGAAGCTGATTATTAAGGAGGGGCATTATATTTTTAAGGAAACAGTAGAGCTAATCTTGAAAATATAACAGCATTTAAAATACATTCAAATACTTTTGGTGGGTTTTTATCTAGTGAAAAGGAGATATAGGAAACAGTCATAAGGATTTCAAATTCAAAAAATTTTTCATAGTTATCTTCTTCTTCAGGTGGATTTGCCTATTTAAACAATCCGAATTCTTCATTGATACTATTAAATGTAGATCTCTATGATATTAAAGCAAAGATTTAAGGAGGAATATTTTATGTAATCGATTCTAATATTATATAGCTTGAAAAATCCAGATTTTATTAATTCAATTCTTTAATCGGAGGTTTCATTTCTTCTTCCTCATTCTTTTTGAAAATGTTGATGCTTTAATCAATTATTGTATGTGATAAAAACTATCAATAAAATTTAGATTTTGAAGCATTATCTGGAGGTAACCTTTATTTAGATAATAAAGCTTAATTTTACTTGTTTAATAGCATAAGCCTTATCCTTAAAAACAATAATTTCTAAAAATGTGGCTATTCTCCTCAAGGAGGTTTGTTTTCATTGTAGAAGACAACGCTTACTGACTATAATTCAATATATTAAAATATCACAGGAAAATTTGGAGGAGTCTTTTATGCATAAGACACAAACATTTCCATTACTCAATCATAATTCATAGGCAATTCAGCAAAGACAGGAGGAGTCTTTTATATCGTATCAAATTCAAACTTAAGTATATCTTACTGCTAATTCTAACTAAATAAAGCAATTTAATCAGCTGGTGTATTATATGTTTCTACCTAATCAATCTTCAATATAAAAGGAAGCATATTTTCAGAAAACAGTGCTGAGGAAAACTCAGTAATTGAAGTTCTTAACACTTTTCAGTAAGAAAATGTTACAATATTTAATAGTTAATTCTTGGATAATATTGCTACCAAAAATACAATATCAATGATTTACTCTAATATATATATTAAAAATGTTTTATTCAAGAATAATTAGGCTAAATATAGATCTAAAAATTTGCTTTTGGGATTTGCTAATATTACAATTTTAAATACTTAATTTCAAAGCAAACCTGTGAGAAATTAAGCATCAATTAGTGATTAAACAACTGGTGCATTTATATTTTTGATATTTGATGTTTAAATTGATATTGATGGCTGCAATTTTTAAAGTGGATTCTCTAATTAAGGAGGTGCTTTATATATTTCAGGGGATAGCATTATTAGTATCTCAAGATCATTGTTTATAAATAATCAAGCAAATTCAAAAGGCGGAGCTATATATGCCTCTGGTTTCTAAAGTATCTATATTGGAGAGGGTACTAAATTCATTGATAATTTTGCTTAAGATAATGGAGAAGATATTTACGTTACGAACTCGATAAGCAATTTGACACTGAACAATGTCTTAATTTAAAATCTTAATTCTAAAAATTCAATATACATTGAATAGGCAATATTACTTGCTGAAAGTTTGGTAATTAAAGATATAAATTAGAATTAAGAATCTAAAATGGGTGCTGGAATATTTTGTAATTATTGCAAAGGCTTCAAAATAAAATCATCATAGTTTATTAATTTAAAAAGCACAGTGGGTGGAGCAATTGCTATTATAGAAGTTGATATTAATAAAGGGACAACATAATAATAGAGGGAAGAAAAGTTTTTAATATCAGATACAAAATTTTAAAACTGCACTGCTTAGATTGGTGGAGCAATTTATGCTGAGAATGCATAATCAATTAAGATAATTAATTCTACTTTTTCTCAAAATTAAGCTAAAATTGAACAATATAGCATCATATTGTTAGTAAACAAAGGGTCAGGAGGAGCAATATATTACACATGCAATAGTTAATAACTTAATTGTAAAATTAAATTTGAAGGTTTCAATATATTCAAAGAAAATTAAGCTGAGGTCAAAGGTGGAGCCATATTTTGGGATTAGCTAGAGCCAGAATTTAGTAGTGATGGCTTATTATACTCCAATAATAAAGCTAAACTTTATGGAAATGATATTGCTTGCTATTCATAGAATTTGTAATCTATTACTAAATAGGAATATTTTAATCAAATGATTAATATTGGATTATTCTAAGATGATTATTTTCAATAAAGAATTTTAGAAATTGAGAAATAGAATAAATATCATAGATAACTTGAAGAAATTAAATTTTAAAGAAGTGGTGGCCAAATACCAATAATATATTTAGCTCTGAAGGACAAATATGGGCAAATAGTTGGATCTGATTTTTAAAGCAAAGTTAGAGTAAATATTGAGACAAATAGTTCTGATCAATAGCAGAGTTTATATTCACCAATCCTTGAGGGTTTTATAACTTTTGATATGATTGGGGGTATTGCAGTTATATAAAATTTATAGATAACAGGCACTCCTGGTTGCTCATACAACCTTACTTTTACAACAGATGGGATAGATTTGACAAAAAAATCTAATTAGATAAAAATGTAAGATTTAGGTAAAGTAGATCTAAATTTTGGTTTGAAAATAAACTTGAGAGAATGTGAAATAGGGGAATAATTTACAGTCGCAGGAAAATGTATCAAATGCGAGCAGAGTTTTTCTCTGATAAAAATGAAAGAACCAGGTAATTGTTAAATCTGCCCAACTGAAAAAGCAATATGTAATGGAGGTGCTGAAATTGGGCCACTACCAGGATTTTGGAGAAGTAGCAATTAATCTTAAAATTTTATGCTTTGCCTTCTTGAATAAGCTTGCTTAGGAATGATTGCTCCTAAAAATAATCCATTAGGTGAATGCTTATAAGGATATTAAGGCATACTCTGTGCAGATTGTTAGTGAGGTTATTCAAGAGATGGTGATTATAAGTGTACATTATGCCCTAATCATTGGTTAAATGTCTTAAGATTATTCTTTATATTTATAGCTACAGTGGCTCTAGTAGTTCTTATTATTAGATAAACATTAAAGAGTGCCTAAGACATGAATAATGTTACTAGTATTTATATTAAGATAATACTAAATCATTTTTAACTACTATTAATGACAAGTTCGTTTGATTTCTAATGGTCACAGCAAATAGTATCATTCTTTTCTACTTCAAAATAAGTTGCAACTTAGTCAACTTAGATATTGAGCTTTGATTGTTTCTTAGATACAAATGGAAAAATCTAAAATTCACAAAATTAGAAAATTTTTTACTTAAAATTAATTTTGCTAGCATTATTACCTTTTATACTTGCCATAGTGAGTACATTAATTTGGAACATTTACAAATAAATAATGAGAAATCAAGTTCTTATAACCTCAAAAATAATGTCAAGCTTGGTGATCATACTCTTCCTAGTGCACCCAAGTTTGGTTAATTATTCATTAAATGCTTTCAAATGCAAAGAGATAGATGGACAAGAAAGAGTGTAAGTTGATTTGGAAATTTTGTGCTGGTCCAAAGAACATACCTTCTATAGTTGTTTTGTAGCTTTGCCTTGTATTATTGTGTGGGGACTAGGAATACCATTCTTTGGTCTCTCTATATTAGTAAAAATGAGAAAGTAGCTTGAAAACATTGAGATCAAATAAAGTTATGGATTCTTATATAGAGGATATAAGAAATAATACTTTTATTGGGAAATTGTGATTATGTATAGGAAAATATTCATTATTTTTACAGCTGTCTTTATAAGTAACTTTGGAATAATAGCATAAGCATTAATTGTTTTTCTTTTTCTAATAGTATTTTTCTTAATAAACTACAAGAAATAGCCTTTTAATATTAAAGCATTAAATGACTTGGAAAATCTTTCACTTGTAACACAATTAATAACTATTTACTGTGGTCTATTCTTTATTCTAAATAAACCTAGATAGTGGATTGAATAAAATCCTGATTTTTCTAGAGGCACAGTCTATTTATCAGAACCTTTTTAAAGACTATTATTTGCTTTTATTCTAATTTCCAATTTGTTGTTTTTTATATATTGGGTTCTAAAAATGTATGATGAAGGCAGAGTAAAACTTAGATATAATTTAACCAAAATTTATTTGGTGACATGTTTATGCAATAATCAAATAAAGTTGGAAAAAGAGTTTATTGCTCACAAAATTGAAATTCAAAACACCATTTATCTGTAACAATTGAAAGAGTAACTCAAATTGATAATAAATTTATTTAAAGAGGGGAAACATAATTTAAATAAGGGTAATATGGAAAAGTTGATGAGCTATCTTTAAAAAGCCTAGATTTTAAAATAGCTTAAAATATAAAATGAAGAGAAATCAT